CGAATTACGAACGAAACATTTGCATCTTCAATCGAGAATTAAAGCACAGCGATATCGGTATTTTCGTTCTATTCTATTTGGTTAACAGAAAAACTGGTTTTTCTCCGGTTACATAAATAACGTAACAAGTCGACGTAACCAATTAAGTTTTCTTCGTTTAATTGGCATTAGAGCGATGCCGCCCGTTTGTTGTTCGTTGACCTAATTAGCAGCCTGGCAATGGCGAAGAGAGTCGTTCTATTTCTTCGACTTCGTCGAATTATCCACTTATTTTCCTCCAATGGAAAACCGCGAATACTTGTCGCATCTTCGAAATTCCTTTTCCCCCGAAAAGTTACGCGCGCGATAAACGTGATCCACTTGGGCGAGCTTTGTTACACGAGTTGCATTTAACGTCAGTCGATAAAGTCAACGAACTTTGGCCGAACTTGTATAGAATAAACGTATACGATACACGTCGTTTTTTTTTTTCTTGACAAAACGATCAAGGTTTTCGATCAATCCAAAGCGAATTCATTCTTCTACAACACCGTACAAGTAACTTAATTGAAACGTTGATTTTTCGATAATTAATCGAGAATTATTTATCGAGATTACCATCGAGCGTTAGAACAAAGATCGCGCAGCGGCGTTTCAATTTTCACGGTCAAAAGTTAAAAGAAGAAGCATCGCGTCGTTTACGAGACGAGGGATAATACCACAAGGTTATACGCAAGGTTCACGCGAAAGGTATGTAAAGGGAGAGGCAGGGCTCGCAAACATCATATTTTAGAAGCAGCGAGCAATTTCGGGTATCATTGTCGCACTGGCTGCAATTATCCCGGATATCCGTCGTCTGCGCGACGTCGAAATAATTACTCGGGCCGCGTAACTACTAGGAGCGCAATTACCGCGATAAGAGGCCGCTCTCGATCCTCGCGTACCATGGATTCCCCTTCTCGTTAAGCCTCTTTCATCGAATTTCCGCGAAAATTGGAATATTTCGGTTCTTCTGGTTCGATGGCGCTTCTCCCTCTTCCGTCTCTTTTCCTTTGACCGTCCATCCACTTGACTTCGTTTCTTCCCAGAGGCATGGATGAACCCGAGTCTCTCTCGATCCTCCTCCTTTGACCCAAATAATCGCTTGCTCGTTCACTCTACGTGTTATAATAATTTTCTCGAATCGATACGTAGCGATTTTCGAATTACGTTGCGTTAAACTTCTATCAATCCTTCTTTCGAGACGTTTCGAAATTCGAATTTTTCTATTCGTTACGCGGAAACAGTGTTGTTCGCGTGTTATTATTTTTTTTTTTTTCGAGAAAAAACCCACCCTGTACAAAATTACAATCTCTCAACACAATTTCAAAATTCAAGGTCACGCTGCTTTCGATTCATCCTATGATAGAATAAATTCGAAGTTTTGGTATAAGGCTTACAAATAACACGGTACGCAAACAGTTGCGTTTCAGACGCGTGGAAAGTTCATCAAGTTCAAATTCCCGCGTCAGGTTTAGGCGAGTTTAAGCTACTTTCAGCTCCTAATTGCGGTCTCCCCTTCGACCTGGCTTTGATGCCCTCCATCCCGTGTCCCTATATATCAGCCCGCCGACCCTTTCGAGTGGCGTGCTGCGGGCTGGTTATGGACTGGTTAGTCGATGCACCGCTGCCGCCACTGGACTCTTCGGCGCCTCACGCTACCCTCGTTCCAGACTCTCTGGCGCCCCTTTTCATCCGTCTCTCTCTTCTCCTCTTCTTCCTCCTTTATCCCCTCCCCCTTCCCTCCCCCCTGCCCCCCTTTCGCATTAAAAACGGGTGACGCGAGAATAATTGATACGCAATAAAATCGATCTCCTGCTCCGGGTTCGATTCCGCCTCGAACTATGGAGAGCTGCGGAAAAGAAAAAAAAAAAAAAAAAAAAGAAAAAAACACCAGATCGTTACGATACACGACAAATTGCTTCATTTTTTAACGTGGAAGATACGTGGTTGATAAATTCATACCCCTCCCCGACGGAATATCGCCGCGTTACGCGGAAATTACCCGCACGACCCGTTATTTTGTCATTCGTGTCTCTTCTATGAAGCGATCGACTGATCCAACCCTCCTCCCCCCTCGTGTCTCACCCAACCTAATGGTTGGACGAAGGTAGAAACGTAGGAGGTAGGAGGCCTTTTCGTGTCACGACACGGTCTGGTCACGCACGCTTGCTTGCTTGTTGAAAACATCATGGTAAAAATAAATCTTGTTGCAAGGATAAACGGCGGACGGTCCATGGTCGCGTATATTTCTTCCTCCCGATTTTTAAAACGTAGAGTGGTTTAAGAGTGAACGGAGAAGAGGAGGAGGAGGAGGAAGTGGATATTGGGAACAAATTTGTGTTGACGAGATATGGCGAAGCGTTTTTTTCTTTTCTTTTTTTCTTTTTTTTTTTTCAAGACGAACCAATGGCGGTATTTCATATTTAGATTTTTTTTTTTCTTTTTTTATCATTTCCACGAGAGATTGAAATCGTTTGATCAAATGGTTTTGTCCGTGGATCCGAATGGATCGCGCTACACGGCGGGAATTGATCGAGTTATCGAGACGAGAATGTTTCCGGTTGTTCGACAGGGCAGGAAATTGCTTCCATGTTTTTTACGAAAAATTCACACCGGCCGAGGCGAGCAAACAACATTGTCAAAGGGAACAAATTTGTCTCGAAAGAGTCGGACGCATTAATATTCATCGTTGATCGAATACCGCGAAAAATACGAAGAAAAACATGTAACGCGTCGTACGTGTCCCCTCCAAGGAATTGAATTATTGAAATCACTTGCACCGATAAAAATTTCCTCTTCGAAAGCTTCGAAATTCCATTTTCCGTCGTACCTAAAAAATGCGTTCATTCGCGATTTTTAATTTTTCGCGAGAAAAGAAAAAAAAAAACGTTTATCGACGACAACGATCGAAATTTCCACGCTAATTTCACCTTCGCGCGCGTTCTCGATCGTTCGAATTTTCGCATTTTCGAATTTTCGCATCGATTCACTTGTTCCACCTTTCTACATCCGACGTCCATTAAAAATTCACGTTCTCCCTGGGAATTGGAAAGATTCCCCGCCGTGTCTGGCCGAGATTAAAAAGCGTGGAAACGAAACCACGGTAGAACCAGGAGTTTCGACGAGATTCGAAAATCGCGAATCACGATCTCGAAAAGCTCGGCCTCGGTTGGCGTTCGTTAACGAAGCGATCCCCGACAATCGCGTATTCCATATTCGAGGCGGGAGGATATTTCTCGTGACGCGGGTTTCGTGCCTCGTGATTCTTTAACGAGCCGCGAAACCAACCTTCGCCACGCTCCTCTTGCGCTTTTCCCTGTCGCCTCTTCTCCCCTATCGCCGCAATGAAATCGAAACGACGAATCGCGCGCGCACGGGTCGCTGGTCACCCTTCGAATCGCCTCCCGGTAAATTATTTACGTCGCGTGCCGTCCACTATCGATTCGTCCTGTCCGCTCCTCCTCCTCGTCCTCCCTTTTTTCTTTTCCTTCCTTTTTTCCCCTCCCTCTCGATCTACCAATATTTCGTCGTCTCTCCAATTTCCACGCGAGTCGTCGAAAAAATTGATCGACGCGAGGATCGATTAATCGACGAGGTTTCTGTGGAAAAAGGATGTGTATCGGAGAATAAGTAAAAGATCGTATGTGCGTTATTATTGTATTTTTATTTGGCAGTTTGAACAGTGTTTCGAAGTAGGGTTAATTTTTTTTTTTTTTTAAAGGGGGACGATGAATTTTGTGAAGCAATAATAAGTTTATCGGTCTCGCGAGATTGCCAGAATTGGAAGATTTTTATGCGGTTTATAGCCGGTGATACGACGCTCTCGGCGGTCGGAAGGAAGCAATTTCGAGGCCCTAATTGCGCCATGAATCTTGACGACTCGGGGACCGGCGCGGCTCCAAAGATTCCATACCGAAGGAAATATCGTTTGCTCCGCTCTGAATTAATAGGCGAGGGTCGCGATATAAATGCTTCCGGGGTTGAAATAGATACGCGTGATCGTGAGAAAATTCCCAATCATCCCTGACCACCACCCCCGATCATCCACGAAATTCGCTTTCAATTCGTCGAAAATTATATTTATATTTCTCCCTCGGGAACAGAAACATCCCGAGACACACATCCAAAAATCATTCGTTTCATTATGCCACGCATCTTTTAAAATTTCCAAAAAGGCTTCGTCCCTTAAATTGCAACAACAATCATCGAATGATAGAGCAAAAGTTCAGACTTAAAAAGAACTAGGTAACGCACTTGATCACTTACATCATCTATCAATTTCAACAAACTAATTGGAACCATCTTTCGAAACGAAAAGACGAGGAAGAAGAGGCGAGGAAAATTCGCTCATCCTTGCTTCAATTGGAGGAGGGAACGGGACCTGTTACGTTTCAAATCTTACGAACAAATTCAAAGATAGAACGGATCGTTTAATCGGTAAACGTGGCCGAGTTACATCGGTGCAATCCACGTCATTAAACCGAGCGAAACTGATTTAACGGACAATGAATTGCATAACGTTCAGCCCTCCCTGCCCCTGCCTCCCCGCAAACAAACGGTAACAGGAATACGAAGCATGTTTATAGGTTTATTACGAATTGCGGTCCGCGTCGTCCGTGTTGTTTCCGGGACGCGTGTTGAAAATGTCGAGGGGAAACGTGGTTTCCCTCCCCCTTTCCTCCCAGAGCTGAACTCGAGCACGTGACGCGCCCTCGAATTACCGCTCTGTTGCTTTTTTCTTTTTTCTTTTCTTTTTTTTTTTTTTTCCATTACGTTTTTGTTTCGAATCAACGCGATTTATTCGCGATTGATCCCAAATTTTTTTTTCTTTTCGGGTAAAAATGACACATTTTTCTTTCTTTCTTTCTTTTTTTGTATTAAGTTTGAATGATGATAATAATAATAATAATAATAAATAATGGAGGCAAAAGAAGCGAGGGATAATCGATTAAAGAGTGGGTTAACGTTTTCTGTTGCAGAAATAATGAAGAGAGAAGCTGATGCAGGCGCTATGACAGGTTCTGGAGGACCGACAAGTCCTCACAAGCGTTACAGACAGGGTGACGATGAACTTCGTCTTCTGATCCCCAGCAAGGTAAGATTTTATCAGCTGTTCCCCCAGTCTTGGCGGAACCAGTTTCGCAAAGTTGGAGGCGGCGATCGGTCGGTCGGTCGATCGAGCGCCGCTTCTTTTTAGACGAAATATGAGTCGAAAGGAACGGTTATATATAAATCCTGTATGGAGAAACTATCCAATGTATTTTTTAATTCTCGAGAAAATGTTTCTCCTTCTATTTATAAATTTGTCGTTTTCCACAAAACGATTATTGCGATTATAGACAATATAATCCTTCCACGTGTTCTTACTTTCTATTCCCCACTCGTTTCACTCGTTTCGACGAAACTAAGAACAGAATTGTTCTCGAACAATCTCGAGCGCTCGAGTAGTAGTTAGATCATTCATCACGTATCACGTATTCTCTCTTTTCTAACCGTTCGTTCAGATTCTATTACAAAGATCTGTTACAAAGGAGAAAAATTCGAAATCTTGTTTGCAAAGCAGTTTTGAAACGCAATAAGAGAGAAACGAAAGAAGGAAACTTTTTTTTTAGTTTCACCTTTCGTAGAAACGAGAGACGAGGCGTGTGCAATTTCCTCTCCAAATGTTGCTCTCTCATTGTTCAATTTCCAAACGAGATTACGCAACAATCTTTCCAACCGTGTTTCCCTCGACCAGATAAGCTTTGTCAACCGCGCTCCAACGTTCTCTTTCTCACGCGTTTGCTACACGATTTTCCACGATTTTTTTCTTTTTTTTTTTTTCCACGCGACAAGCTGGTCGAGCAGAAGCCGCCGCTCGTCATAACGCGCCGTTTCGTGCCGGAACGTTCGCGGAACACGATTCTCTTCCGGTCATTGTCGCCGTGCTCGGCCAACCGTCCTCCACTTTTCTTCCGCTTTCTTCCGCCCGCCGCAATTTTCGAAACGAATTTTCGACCGATTCCAACGTTCTTCTTCACGATGGATACCAAAAATGTACACGCTGCTCGAGAAAGATCGTGAGAGAAAGACCGCGTTTACAATTCGAATTGCTTTGTTTATCGAGAGAAAAAAAATCGACGATAAAAAGAAAATATCGATGCTACGTTTCCAGAGAAAGATACAATACGCGATACAATCTTGTGCGGAGCGATTATGGTCGCTCGACTAGTCGGCCGACTATAGTAGCGAAAGGTTTAAACGAGAAAAATTACAAATCGATAAAGAATTTCTTTCTTTCTTTCTTTCTTTCTTTCTTTCTTTCCAAAATTATGAAATTATTTGGAAAGTGTTGGCTCCGATTTTCGCCTACAATATTACTCGCTTTGCCGTTATTAAGTTTTATCTTGTCTTAAAAAAATATATCAGAGATCTCTTCATTTTCTCCTAAGAAGAGAAATCGTGCTTCTCGAGGGAGCACGTATACGCCATATACCACGCGTATAAAAGAAGAGAAAAGAATAGAGAGAGAGAGAGAAAAGAAGAAGCACGTGCCACTACCCATATCGAAATTCATTCGTTCGCGTCTTAATAAAACGAGATTGCATCGCGAATGGAAAGAAGGGAGGAATCGATCGAGGAGGCACAAAGGAGGCGCTCCCCTGGATGCGTATCGACCTCCTCCGTCGATTTCGCGGCCCAACCGCTTCGATTTTTATCCCCGTTGGCGGGGAGACGGTGATCGAGCAGCGCAATGTCGGTGTCAGGGTCGATCGATGGACCGCTCCTCTTTTCCGCCGAGTAATGCAATCTCGTTCACGATCGCGGCAACGCACAATCACGCGTTTTTACGCCACGGTCCCGTGCCGTGTCGCAATATATCGGCCGCTTATCGCCGCTAATCGCGCGGTGGAAAACCGTGGCCGAAACCGTTCGAAAAGGAACGAGATCGGGACGACCTTCCGCGCCTCGATTCCCACGAAAAATCGGGCGAGAAATTGGAGCGCGAGTTATAACACGGATAGATCCCCTGTGGCTGTGGGTCGAGGCCGGGAACTTGAGTCACCGTTCACGATTATATTTTAAGATCGCGTATATTTTAACGCGTTATTTTGTTCTGGCACGAAACGTTATCCCCGAAACGGTTCCGCGATTATCGCATCGTTCTTTGAAAAGTGGTGGCTGTGGTAGTTTTTTATCGTTCGAATTATCGTCGAAGAACGTAACGTAAGAAGATCATTTTTAGAGAATGAAATTTCGATCCAACGTATACTTTCGAACACGCAAGAAGAACAATTCTTGCCAATTCGAATCTCGTTTAGGAGAAAAGAAAAGAATTATTTGTTTAATCAAGTTTATGCATAGTATATTTCTGAATCTGAAAAATCTGAAAATTTTGGATTTCAGGTAGCCGGTTCGATAATCGGCAAGGGTGGCCAGAATATCACCAAACTGAGGAGTCAGGTAAGCCGTTGCTTCTTCCGTTCCCGTCGTTACCGTATCCCTCGATCTTGTTTCCTCTGTCGTTCGTTCGTGTTCGAGGGACAAGCACGAGAGACAGAAGAAGTGTAAACGATCGGAAAGAAGAAAAAAAAAAAAAAAAAAAGAAAAGAAAAGAAAAGAAAGATGATAGACAAAGAAGATCCAGATGGCGAAGTGTATAATATAAACTTTAGTCGAATGATTGATTCACGAATCACGTCGCATTTTTCACGAGTCTATATTTTATTCCGTTCCCACCGTGATTAATCTGTCGCGCGAATTTCTAGAGACGACCACACATGTTACATACCATTTGTCTATCGATCGATTAGCTGGAATGTTTAGGAAGGCTCCGATGAGCGTATTTCTGAAACGTGTGTGCAAACGAGAATCGTGTGTTTGCTGCGAGATTACGTACCGTTTTCTCTCCCTCTTTTTCTCTCTGTCTCTCTTTCTCGAGTTCAGTATTTAGCCCGTTTTTTCATTAGCCGACCTAGCAGAGTATTATTATTATTATTGTTGTTGTTGTTGTTGTTATTATTATTATTATTATTATTATTATTATTACTATTATTATTACTATTATTACTATTATTTTTTTTTCTAGAAAACTATGAAACCGTTCGTTCCTTTTTACCTACATACGACCAAAGATAAATGCAATATATATATCTAAAAATTATATATACATTTACATACACACACACGTACGAAATATCTTCATCACGCATATTTTTCGTTCTCGAGCTGGAAGTTAACCCTTTTTTCGTCTATCGCAATTCGTCCTGCCGACAGATCATATATATATATATATATAAATACATATATATATATATATACACAAATATCTGCCCGCTCTCGACCGTCTCTGGAAATTGATCGAACGGCCCGTTTCCGCGCGTTCGTGGCCCGAGAGTAAAACTGCGTGGGCGTGAAACTGCAGCCGACCCTGAACGATTGATTAAAGATGCGGCCCGCGAGTAAAGCCTGTTGCACGCGCATACCGATCGAACCTCTTTCGATTCCAGCTCGAAAGGATTAATTATCGATGGTAATGAGTCGGAACGGGCGTGTTGCAACGCGATATAAATTACACCGTGGGATCAAGCTTAAACTCTCTGCTCGAACGCTCAACCGGAGAGAGAGAGACAGAGAGAGAGAGAGAGAGAGAGAGACGTCGAGGAAAAGGAAAA